CATATAAAGATATCTTTGCAGCGCCAGGAGAGACTAAACTCAACGTTTCTGCCCGCCTAGTGCACAACAAAATGAATTATAGGTTAAAAAAGCAGATTTTACATCACATGTCCCCTTTAAGTAAAGAGCTTTAATACTTCTGATTCGACATTTACCCGCTTTTTTGCCAAACTCTCCCTCCAGCTCGGCCTGCGTTCCAGTAAGGGGCAGATCCACCATTTCCATTGTCATCACATGTGACAGAGCCTCCTCTCTTGTCCACATTACACGCCCTGAAAAAGAACAGTCATTACTCCCCTGTAATCACTCCTTCCACCATCCACACCCTGTGAAAGTCTGCTGCGTTGATGCTTTCCATTAACAGCCACATGGTAATGTTGTTCCTATGTCTTCTGCAAAACACTGGACAGGTTGCAAAAACAACTGGACTTTGACGCCACCTAGTGGTAGGATGAAAAAAAGACTCTGCAGTACATCAACACAGGGCTGACTCACAATAAACTGAAGCTCTCAAAAAGTGGTAAAATGTGTAGAAGCAGTAACAATTTGGGATAATTCTGAAATGAAATCTAACAACCGTGCAAAATCCATAAATTGACTTAATAGTTCACACTGGTCTGACTACAAAAGAACTGTTTTTCTTCCTTCTTGTTCATACCTGGCTGCTGTATGAAAGTGAGTGCATGGTCCTCTGTCTGTACCATGACTCTGTAGCCAACAGAGTCATCTTTCTTCAGGAATGCTTGAACATGAAGCTGTGAGACAGAATTTACATTCATTTAATTTCCCTCTACAGATGATTTAAGTGCTACGGCTCCTTGAAAAGATACAAACTCACCCTCTCTGGTTTTCCTCCAGTAGGATCCACGGTATAAATCAGAGTTGTGTCAAGAAGTCTGCGTCCAGTTTCAGCACTGAAGAGATTGATACTGCAAGCCTGTAAGGAAGCAGCAAACAATCACCTTTCAAAATGTATTTTATCACCTACATAAAAAACTTTACGAAATCTGATAGCAACAAGCTAGACTTATTAACTAAACTAAAACTGTGAATCATAAACTGTATGAAATCTGCAAAAGGAGCTCAATGAACAGAAATAAAACCATCCCAGCATTACAGAAGGTAGCTAGAATTTGACGTAAACTTGCAGTTTTATTCTTGGGGGACATGACAGCAGCAACGGTCTTCTCTCCAGTTGTTGCAAATGCAACAAGCAAGGCCTGTGGATGACAACAATCAATAATAATATATTTAAAAATATTGCTCACAAATCAGTAACTGAGTAAATAAAGAACATGGAGCCTTTATTTTAAATGAGTAGAAAGAAGTTTAAACCTATTCAATCCTTTATCTAATCTATATTATTTCTTGCACAATATGTATTGTCTTCATAATATATTGTTTTCAAGGTGTATTAATAATACCTAGATATGGTATGTGTATAATATTTTATACATGAATATATAGAAATAAGTTCATAGCAAAAAACAGTATTCACAACCCCATAAACGCATATAAATGCATATTTAAGTCAAACATATGTGACGTGTCATATTCCTAGCATTGTTGCAGTCAATAGCAAATACTGAAAAAACTGTTTAATAATAATAATAATAATTATTAATAGTAATATTTCCATCGGATCTTAATTACAGTTTTCAGGTCAGAGTTTTCATTTCTTCCACAAAGGTCATGCATGCATGACCACATGAGTTTTGGGTGGCAGGAGGTCTCAACTAGTTTTTTTATGTTTTAACTCCTTGCCTGAACAAAAAAGGATATAAAAAAGACCCATCAGAGGTCCTTGAGAACTTTACTCACAGTCAGAAAAGCAGCTTTACAGTAAAATTAGTTGGTAACATTTGGAGAAACAAACAAAAAAAAATGACAGGTAGTTTGAATTTTGAAAACCTCTACAAGGATTTGAAAAAGTAATATGCAGATATGATTACGTACAGGCTTGAAATCCCTCAGAGTCACGACCTGACCATTGTTGAGCTGGAGAAGTAAATGATGATCAGGCCCGAGGTGAAGGAGGAACTCCGATAGTGGCTGACGAGCCGGGTTAGGCTGGTGTGACACCAGGTATGGATGAAAATCTGGGTCTACTTCAAGACCAAGTGCCTGAAAATGCAAAGTATGTATATATATTTTTATTTATTAATTAATTCAGATGGAGAAACAGTGACACATATAAATAGAGCATATAAAAAGGAAAAACATAACTAAATGCAAAGTTAAACCAAAACTTAAGAAAAGAGCACGTTCACTTCATACAGCAGGATGGCTTTTGTTCTATTGTTTCTTGATACCTGCAGGGGGATCTGTGTCATCTGTAGCTGCTGGTATAAGTCCAGTGTGTAAAGGGACATAGTTGTAGAGTCTACACATGTCAACATCCCCTGGCCAATCACTGCACAGCTGGCTGGTATGTTTGAAAGCCACGGAGCATCAACTGAAATCTGAAAGCATCACAAGCAAACGATAAACTGGAACATCAGTCTGTTAGTTGTTGAAGCTGAAATGACACTTAAATTATCTAATATTTTGCTTTTTTATATCCTACAATTAAATCATTACCTGTTTGATTATTTCACCATCCTCCACACTGTAAGCAACAATAGCAATGTGGGAATGGGGAACAACTCCCAATGCATATACTTGACCATTTCCACCTGAATGCACTGCCTGGTAATTCACAGTTTCACTGCGAAGAGAAACAGTACCCATGGTCAAATGCTAATCTTGGTTATGAAGTTATGGTTATTTCAGAGTATTTTTTTGGTTTTTATAGAAAACTATTTAAAGAAGTATCTAATTGTTGATCAAATAATATATAAAATAAAAACATAGCAATGTACCTTTCTGGTAGGTTCTCTATCCATTTCTGATGACCATTAGACAAGTAATGAAGAGAGATGACCGATTTCTTCAAAACAGCTGCATGTTTGACTGTGCCTTGCTGTCCAACCAGACATGCTGACTGAAAACTAAAATATAGTACAACAGCAGTTAATATTTAAATAACGTATAAACAGTTTACATGTTACCACTGCATTCAGCAAGGAATTCACCTGCCAGAGTCAAGCACAATTTCCCAGTTCAAGCCTCCAACGCTGATGTCCCAGGAGCGCAGCACGCGTCCATTGCCAACCACTAACACCGCATCTAGGCAATAAAAATTGTTTTGTAGATTATAGGCATGGAGTGATGCAACTAAAACTCTTGCAGTTCAAATGCAATGACAAAAGAAAAGCACCTTGGCCATGATGCAAAACAGCATCAATGTTTCCCTCTGGACCAGTCTTGTCCACATGTCGCCAGACTATAAAAGAAAAAGACAGAATAAATATTCAGAATATAATCAAACCTTTATAAGAACTGACAGGTACATATTTGAGATTGACAAAGTACTCACAGAGGTCTCCAGTCCTGGTATTTAAAGCAGCAAAAACATTACTCTCTGTTGCTAGAAGCACTTTTTTAGACGACTGCAAATGCGTGTCGAAATGAGAAAAGCGAACTTTGCCTACATATTGTTGCCTCCTGTGAAAGCAGAGACCAAAAAACAAACAAAACAAAAAAACATTCATCAACACAATTTATTTCGTCTTTCAATGCAGAGGTAAACTACAAAACAGTTAAAATAACCAAGCTTTCTTCTTGTTGATCTTCTTGTTTATAGAAGATGAAAACTTCGCCAGTTTTAATATAATATCTACTTCGTTTTATTTTTGTTTCCAAGTTATAGGCTTTATATAAATCAATCGATTTCTCCAAAACCCACTTATAAACAACAAAAGTGTTAATATTTCATAGAGAAAATAATAAAACAAGGCTATCATCATCGTTAATGTATTAGCAATGTCATCTCCTTAAAAGTCCACCACCGACTCGAAGCTTTGGCTGACAGGTGTTAGCATTAGCATTTCATCATAACGAATTAAATACATATCTATAAAACAAAACTCATGTTTCACTGGTTCTTTAGACTCTTCTTACCAGTCAAATTTTCCCACTTGATCCTCAAATACAGCCGCGACAATGTTGCAAAAAGCTATCAAACTGAGCAAAAGCAAAATTAGCTTTCCCATTGCAGCAGCTTTGCCTTACTCTTCAATGGGAGCGGAAGCCGGAAGTCATTCGGATTTCCTCTTTTGTCATGTTGAAGGGTGGTGCTGCCACCTACCGGTCAAAAAGGCGTTGAAATAGAAAAGGCAAATGATAATTATTTGTCGCAAATATGAAGAACAGCTTTTGGTGACAAAACTAATTAATAAGAAAATGATTTTAGGTGTGTGTGTGGTTTTTTTTAGTACCCAAATGGAAGTGTTACAGCTCATAATAAAGAGCCACCAGGGGGAATTGTTGCCATAAAGACTGGACCAAACAGTAAGTTGTATTTTCTATTTTGTGATTTTTCTGTATATGCACCTGGACCTTCCTAGGATTGCTTTGCCTCTGGCACACACTAAAATGTTTCAATGTCCCTCATTGCTTATTATTATTATTATTATTATTATTATTATT